CTGAAAGAACCCATAGGCTACTCACTAATTTTTTTTAATTCCGCGCGAACGGTGTCCCGGGCGAAAGCTAGTAAACAGATAAATTGTTTCTGAGCGCTAACCATACTGGAGTGGGAGGTAGGGAAGATGATGTTGAAGACTGTGTGGCAGTTATAGCAAAGCTTATCTTGAACTTTTGATTTAAGTTGCTTGTACTCATATCGTTCTCATTTAAGAATATTAGTGGGAATTACTTCAAACACCGCATTGCACCATCTCCGGGGGCATGTAAGTGTAATTAGTGAAGCGGTTTAGCTCGCGCCGCGGAAATCCGGAGTATTATCTAAATATTATTTTATAGACCGTAAATTTCTAATTACTTGGTACTTTATAAACTAGTTTTTGCCCTGGTACCGCGCGGAATTAAAAAGAAAAGTTAGATTAGTAACTTATTTGTTCTATATCTATGCCAAATTTCGTCGAGATTCAAAGATCCGTTAGATACTTTGTAATAAACATTTCTCCATCCATCTTCAATACATTCGGATTTACAATATAAGTAAGAAGAAAGATCTACAGCTTATATAACTATTAAAACCGATAACCAGACCTTTGAAGTATTTGTACTACGAGTATTATTATCTCCACACTGAGTATACTCGACTAACGGCCGACTACTGAAACTTCATAAGTCAGTAATAGTGTCTTAAATGATAAGGCCACGCTCACACTCTAAATTCCTTACAAATTTTGACGTCTATCAGATTGAAAGAGGCGCTTACAAAGTAAGAATTTAGTATTCTTTTCAGTATAAATCTGTAAGAGAATTGATTGATGATTTCATTTAAGGTTTAAGAAAATATTAAGTTGTGTTCTTCTAAAAAGCAACTTATTCAATAACGAAGTAAAATTAAATTCAAGACTAAACGCTAGTTTTCTTTTATAATTGGTTAAAAGCGATGTAAACGATTGTCTGTATCTTTGCTGTTTAAATGAAAATAGCAACGAACAAAGCGCCTCTAATTTGTTGTAATCAGCTTCCGAGAATTTAATTAAAGGGAATCAATGATTGCTTCCACGAATTAACGTAACTACAGAGCACGTAATAGCATAGTTGCTACACTTACATACATTTAGTATCTCTTTCATTAAAAAACTTTCTGTTACTGTGGATTGTTGTCCTTATTATTGAAAGTGAATGTAAAGAATTTCGAAAATGTACCATTACCAATGCTACAAACAGAGAGGTCATCTAAAACATGTAGAGACTCTATCTATACTTCTATGTTAATATTATAAAAAAGTAAGTTTTTTATTTTATTTTTGTATGTATTCAAATTATTCAAAAACTACTAAATCGATTTCAAAAATTATTTTACCATTTAAAAGCTACGTATGTAATTAGTGAGTAACATAGGTCATGTTTTGATTGTTTTTAATTTAAGTTTTTTAAATTAAAGTAAGTCGCAAGCAACAGCTAGTACTTAATAATATCACAAACGGAAAGATTTATTGTTTAGTATGTAACTAATAAACTCAAAAACTTCGTTGTCACCGAGTAATATACTACTATATCTATACACTTTATATACTACTATATCTTTTAAATTTCGTTCGAACGAAGTCGCAAGCAATATCTAGTTTGCAATTAAGAATGCTGCACACATAAAATATGCCGTGGAATTTTTACGCAAGATACACCTATCCAGTTTTTTTAATAATAAAGCAGATTTACCATTGTTATAGATGAGCTTTTCAAGCAGGAGCTTACAAATGTTCTATTATAGTTTTTAATACACGTTTTAATTTGTTGATTGTTAATCATAATTAATTATAATTTTGTGTTTATAATAAAGCTTAGTGCTTTTTATAGCGTCGCTGTAATGTTATACCGTTCTCACTAGCTAATAGCATTTTAATAGCAGCACCAACCCCTTTAATGTGAAAATGCTACATTAATGGTCTTTGATGTGGCGTCATTGCAGGTAGTCATTTACGCTTATTACGCTACCAAATTTTTTAGACGCTAATGTTATTATTATTAGTTTTTGTTACAAATTACGCATAATTTTATTGTAGCTTGATGTGTCGAGGGAAAACTGTGAAACCAAACTAAATATTTTTGAACAACAGAAGCACATTAACGAGTAACAAATGTATATACGGACAGCACTCGTCAAAGAGTAATACAGCCTCGGTCAAAAACATACATAATTAATTATTTACGGCTTACTCACGTATGCTTTTGTTTTTCCGGTGACGGCACCGACCAGTTTCAGACCCTGCGGGGGTCCTTCTTCAGGGCGAGAGTTAAGTATGTGTCGCGTTCGCGTCGCGCCTCGCACTGCGGGCCAGCGCTCGAAGGGCGCGGCTTGAGGGGGCGGGGGGCACCGGGGGTGCAGTTGCCATTGCGTGCGCCGGCGGCGACGATGTCGACGAGCTCGATATTGATGAGTCATTGTTGATGTTGTTGACATTCTCTCTCCGAGCTCTTCTCTCTTTTGCTCTCCGAGCATATCCGTTGCATGCGCAAACTGGACAGCAACACGTCGGCGATTGCAGAGCACGCCCTTACCACTGGAGCAGCTCACTACATTAGGTTTGACCGTGTGAAAGTCTTGGCTCGCGACAAGAACTTTGCGTCACGTAAGCTTCTTGAAGCCATTGAAATCAACCGTCGACCTAATTTCAACAGAGACAAGGGTTGGTCTCTGTCTCCTACGTGGGAACCCTTATTGCTGAGACCGAAGCAGAAGAACGACGACGATGGTGTTGAATACGTAGCTGACATAGTCAGTACGTTTTGCGCCCCGTTTAATGTCAACAACATCAACAATGACTCATCAATATCGAGCTCGTCGACATCGTCGCCGCCGGCGCACGCAATGGCAACTGCACCCCCGGTGCCCCCCGCCCCCTCAAGCCGCGCCCTTCGAGCGCTGGCCCGCAGTGCGAGGCGCGACGCGAACGCGACACATACTTAACTCTCGCCCTGAAGAAGGACCCCCGCAGGGTCTGAAACTGGTCGGTGCCGTCACCGGGAAAAACAAAAGCATACGTGAGTAAGCCGTAAATAATTAATTATAAAATGTCTCACGAAAGTTTAAATAATTTAAAAACATACATGTTTACTAAGAAAACTTTTCAATTTAGTCGCATAATAAAAATATTCAATTCGAAATTAATTTGTAACATCGCACGAACACCTCAATTCGGGGTTCCATTTTATTTCTCCTGCATACATATGTATGAAAATTACCCGTAAATTTTGGGGTAAAAATAAATAAACAGGTGCGCACACCTTGCCGTTTTGATTGTTGAATTATTCATGACGTCTCACGCGAGCCTGAGTGTGAACTCAGAACTTTTAACTCATCGTGCTTTATTATTGCGATGTCAAATAACATGAAATTAAACTTTTAAAGTATCACTTTGTAATTAAACGAAACCATGTCACACATGAGGAGCGTCGGTGGCACAGTGGTTTCAGCACTTAACTTGTAATCTATAGGTCTTAGGTTCGCATCCCGCCATGTACCAATGTGATTTTCGATTTTTCGAATTTTCATATGTACATAATTTACCCGACGTTTTTACGGCGAAGAAAAACGGCGGAAAACTTCGGCGAAGAAATTCAGAGATATGTGTGAAGTCAACCAACCCCATACTTGGCCAGCGAGGTTGACTATGGCCTAGTCACCGCTTACTAGGGTATGCTCTGAGCCCCTCGGTGGGGACGTATGGAGCTGATAATGGTGATGACGATATCACACATAAGCATGTAGATTTAACGTTGCCAATTGTCATTAACTTGGTTAATGGTCAAAGGTTGTTACAAAAAAATATAATAACCTAAGAATAAATGCGCATATGGCTTAATGTATTGCTATTAGGTTGCCCAGTTTAAAAGGCAATAACAATGTATTTAATTTTATTTTTCGTAGCAGTTGTGCTTCTCATGTATAATTGAATAAAAATGCTCTTTAACCTACAGAAAACATAATGCTATTTAAAATAAAAGAAACCTCTTAGTTACCTTAATGTGAAGATGTAAAAACTACTTAAGCTGTTCCACTTTCTTGTAACTAAATGAATTAAATGAAGGTAAACACATTGCTTGTTTTAGCGGACAAGTCAACTGAAATATACGAATGTGGGTATAAGTGCTAAATAACATTATACTACACTAATATCTATAAATGAAGTTAGTAAAACCGTGTGTTTCTTTTTTGATTAAAATGGTATAATTGTTGTAATTCCAATTTTATTGAAGACAATAACTTGATGCGTCGACCTTACTTGAATGACTTATGTATAGGAGAATGATGACCAAATTTATAATATTACTACCTTTCGCACGCGATCCCGGTCGCGTGGAATTAAAAAAAAAAAACAAAAGTGAGTAGCCTATGTGTTCTTGACTATCGTCTACATCTATACCAAATTTCAATAGAATCCGTTTAGCCGTTTAGTCTACAAACTGTAACAAACATCCATCCATCTAAACTTTCACATTTATAATTTTTTTTTTATAACATAAGGTGGCAAACGAGCAAGCGGCCACCTGAATCCGCCAAAATGGCGAAGCGACCGCTGCCCATAGACATCCGCAATTGCAGATGCGTTGCCTACACTTATCCGACAGAGGAGGAGACGCACATAAAGAGGATATCTCCCCTTCCTATGTATCTCCTCCTCCGTTAAATCCACTTCCTCTTCCCATCCTCTCCTTATATGAAAAGGGTGGTAAACAGAAAGGGACTTAAATTAGGCCTCCGGCACCACACTCATCAAACGAAACACGGAATTGCTTCCATTTCACGCCTGTCTTCTGTGTGGTCGTGGTATTACACCGGGCGTGTCGGCCTATTCGTGCTAAGATGTTAAAGTGAGCACTACCACTGTTATTAGTAAGATAAGTAAGAAGTAAGATAATAATGAATTAAAAGTAAAAGCTTATAAAAACTTTTTACTACGTGTTATGACTTATTGATTGTCAACCAACGTCATTCAAATAACAACAAAAATGGCAACGGTATATGAATTTTTACCAATAGAATTTGACTATTATGGTGAGTTAAGTATTCGTTCGAGACTTGCTGAGGCCAGACGATTCAGCCGCTTCCATGCGGTAGTCCTCCTTCAGCGAATAGTCCGAGGACATTTAATAAGAAAACATTTTGCATGGCTATCGAAAAATGCCCTCACAATACAATGCGCCTTTCGAATGCATCTCGCTCGTAAAGCTTACAGAAGAGCTTTGATACAAGCGGTACGGAACAAACATAACAAAAGATATAATCAGGCGGCAACAAAGATACAGGTACATATGTACATAGTTGAAAGAATATCCTTTTACATAGTAGCTCATTATTTAGCTTTAGGATTTGTGAGATGAAATTTGGGTTTTCTTTTTATTTTGGTTTCTTACAGGCCTTATGGCGTGGCCATTATTCAAGAAACAATAAGTTCTGTTACTACTCCTATCGACGATGGTTGCATGAAGTAACTGAACGTGGTAAGAGGAGAGCGGCCGAAGCTGTTGAATTCGGCATCAGAACAAAGGTCGATGACCTCAAAATGTTAGAAGACGAAGCAAGAAAATGGCTCGCTTACGTCGTCTTCAAGTTACATCACCTACTTAGAACGTACGTCTGTGCCGGCATATATTCTAAAACTGGCACAAGCGAGCTGTCGGAATTTGAAAACCTTTTAAATTCAATACGTTACACGGACTATATGAAACGTTTGAAAAAGAAATATGACGAGTTTGTGCGGAAATATCGGCCTCGTTTTTCCAACAAAAGACTGTTTCCAATAATAGGAAACGGAGAAGATTATTGGTACTTGTCTCTGCCTGAGATGTATGAACTAACAGCTCCACCTCCAGAAGTTGAAGATACGCGCCATATTAACGAATATCACGGTCCTATTCACAAGAAACCTTTTCTATGGAGGAAAGTGACACGATCGAAGCTGTCAGAAGGTAGAGGTCCGTTTATTGCTACAAGAATTCCTTCAAAAGAAACTTTATCAAGTGCACACAGTGATCCACGTTTCGATCTTTACGTTCAACACTACAAGCCGCAACCGAATATTTTCAATTATGTTGACTATCATATAAACATCGTACTATTGAAAAAACAAAAGATACAAACAATGTAAATTACGATTAGAACATACGAAAAATAAATCCTTGATATCTATATCATGAAGGATTGCGGATATTACGTCATTTTTATAATTTCGTTTTGGCATTTATATTTGTCTTCTGTACTCAACTATTGTGTCCATGCAATTATCAAAATATGCTTTTCAATTGTTTTCCTCATTCATAGTTTATGCAAAGTCTAAATTACATAATGACTTCCTGCAAGCCGTATTTCCACCTTATCATGGAGTTTAACAACCCCGTAATCTCTGTACATTCAAATTAATGCTATTGTCGAAACGGACCAAACTTTCCTTATACTGTAATTTCAATATTGCTACAGCAAAATGAAACACAATTTTATTGATGACTGAAATGGCTTGTACCAAAACACTTGGTTAAAATTTTTATTTTTCTTGTTCGGAAATCCGTAATCAGGCTGCTAAGTTTGGAAGGGTCGTCCGGATGTTGCGGCCCGCGAGCCTTTTGTTGTTTCGCTTTTGTTGTTGTGAATTTTACACTTGTAATTTATTTCAGGAAATGCCTTGGTGAGAAAAAAAATTACATTAAACTCTCTAAAGTAAAATGTGTTTTGCAAATTACCATTTCATTCTGGCGTGAGTGCTTTATTTGTGAAAAGTAAATGTGATTCTATTCAAAAAATTGTACTAAGTAAATTGCACAGAACAATTTTATATAATCTTTCACACTTATTAGAGTACATGAGGAGATTAAAACTGTTATATTCACCACTTCGTATAATTAATTGTGCACTTACACAAATTTCAACTATACGAATAAAAAATATAAAAGCTTGTTCTAAATTAAAGCCCTTTATCTCAGTGACATTTGCAATTGACGTTTGAGCTCTTTATAATTGTACCTTAGCTAGACCACTTAAAACACTATAATTTGTTACATTCTTCCGTTTGTATAAATTTAAAAATTCTGATCCCCGTGTATGTTCAATTATTCATTACTAGCTTTCGCCCGCGACTCCGTCCGCGTGGATTGAAAAAGTAAGTAGCCTATGTGTTCTTCCAGATTATGGATGTTCTACATTTGTGCCAAATGTCATCCATATCCGTTCAGCCTTTAAGGCTACACGCTTACAAACATCCATCCATCTAAACATTTGCATTTATAATATTAACGTGATTGTAAACAATCAGGTAATGACAACAGAAATATTACTTCCTATTAGAAATATTGAAGAAGAAAATTAGTTTAAAATTAACAAAATTCTCAATTTTGAGATATCCTGTTCGGTGTTAAGTACTCACATATTCTATTAGATAATGTTGAGGCAAATTATCCTAAAACAAATTAGTAACGCCACACGTCTCGAAACTCATTTGTCTCACAACACCCGTTTGACTCGACAAATTTATTAGGGTCAGAATAATTCAGGTTGTGGGTTTCTGAACCGAGTCCTCAGACCCGTCTTAAGGGGCAACCATTTGTTAGACGTATAATAGTTGACCCACTTTATTTCTGCCGCGGCGTCTCAACAAAGGGGTGTGATTTGCAAATCCATTGATAATTATTAGCTTTCTAATACGTTTTCGTATTTTATTGAATATTGCTCGCAACTTCGTGCGTGTGAATTAAATAAATAACACAAAACATAGCCTATGTTACTCACTAATAACGTAGCTTTTTAATAGTGAAACAATTTTTCAAAACCCCCAGTAGTTTTTTAGTTATTTCAATAAAACAAAAAATCAAAAATGCAAATCTTTGCTCTTTATTTAGTATAGATAGCTTTTGCAGGACTTCGCTCGCGTGAAATTAAAAAAAAAACATAACGCAGCTTTTTAATAGTGAAACAAGTTTTCTAATCGCCCTAGTAGTTTTTGAATTATTGCAATACATATAAAATGTAAACCTTTCCTCTTTATAATATAAGTGTAGATTGGGTTGAATTTGTGAAAATTTGATTGTAACTATGTATTAAAGTTTTGCGTGTTGTACTATGAAATACTATGCGGCAAAAATCTATCTATCTTAATATTATAAAGAGCAATGATTTGTATTTTTGTATGTATTGAAATAACTCAATAACTGGGCCAATTTCTCAAATTATTTCATCATTAAAAACCTATCTTATCAGTGAGTACTATAGGGCATGTGTTTTATTATGTTTTAATTTCACGCGGACGAAATCGCGAGCTGGTATGCAATGTTTTTCAAATCTAATTAGTTATAGGAGATAAAAAAGGTAACTTATAGAATAATGTTTTGGGTTATAAGTACCTGTTTAATTTTTTTCGCAAATACAAACTCATAATATTATCTCATTTATATGCTAAATATTTTCTTAGTAAATATACCTGGTTAAATTTAAAGCTGAAATTACAAGAAAACATTATCATTGTACTTTATTTATGTTAGTAGTCTGCTTAATAAGACTATAACTTAACTTACCTTGTCAAAACTTTACCAAGTTAGTAAATTCAGCTTAATTTATTAAAACTTACGTAAAGTAACAAAGGAGAAAGAACATTTCTGTTGCTATTTTGGTATTGTTAAGTTAATAAATTTCTTACAGGAGTTTATTAAGAAGTATCCATTTAATTATACGATGCGTCTACATGTTTACTAGTTAAGACAATGTATTTACATTTTTGAATTGTTGTCAAAACGTGCTGCCCTAATTATTGAAAATGAAATAACCATTTCAAAAGTAGTTGAGTACTCAGAGTTTGATTTCAAAGGTATTCCAATTACTGTTTTAACAAATATTATCTATTCATTCAATGATCTCAAATCTTATGAAACACTAAATATAGCTTAGCATATTATTAGTAATGTTTTTTAATTTGCTAAGTTTGTCCAAGCCGATAGTCCGATTTATCGTTCGAAACTCATTTTTGCAAATTCGTGCGTCAACTGAACCAGACTCGCTCGGAGTGTGTTTGGCACATGAATAATGTATGGGGTAAATTTGCAAGTGTTTCAATTTACACCCGCCGACACTCGGCGCCGCGGATACGCACCGGAGTGCCGACTGAAGTGCAAAAAGAAAACAACGAGAGGGCCTGAAGAGGCAGACGGGGCACCACCGCATTAGCACCTTGTTACTTTTTCTGTTTAAAAACTTTAAACTTTTCACCACGAACCTGTTTGTTGGGTTACCTGTACTGTGCGCTAGTCTAGCGTTCAACATGAGATGGGCTCGAAAGGACAAACAGTTTTCAGTATTAGAAACTGATTTGTAACCGATATTGTTTTGATTCTATGCAGTCATAAAGAGTTCAGTCAGATGGTTTTGGTCACTATAACTGATCTGTGTATTTTATGTGAGTTATAATACTATTTATCAATTTCATTCCCTGTCCAGTTCCACCCTTTTCTTATAAGGAAAGAATTGGATGAGAAAGTAAATTTGACGGTGGAGGAGATGCATAGGAAGGGGAAATATCCTCTTTATGTGTGTCTCCTCTGTCGATTAAGGGTAGGTGACGCTTCTGCAATTGCGGATGTCTATGGGCAAATATCGCTTCGCCATTTTGGCCGATTTAAGTGGCCGCTTGCTCGTAGGCCACCTTATTGTATAAAAAATACTATTTATTAATGTTTATATTTAGGTATTATATACGCAACACGCTGTGGTAATATTCTATGCTAATAGCACTAAGGGATCTAAAGCCAAATGTGATGTTAGCGCCTCAGGGAACGCTTTCAATAGCCCTCGTATGTACACAGGCGAAAACAGCTTACGCTGTATTAGTTTAGCTCACCTTACTAATTACTGCTGTAACTGTTTGATCTTTATGTAAACAATTTAAATGTATTCAGTTATATACTTTTAAGCAATTGAAGGATTTAAAAAGTGTTTTAAATTAATTTTTAAATCGTGAACCTGAAAATGCAAAACCATTACGTAATAATATTTTAAATAATTGATAAAGTGGCTATATATCTCCATGCTCCACAAAATTATATATATTTTGTACGGAAATTGGCAGAATTCCAAAACGTGAATAAATTATTCGTGGATGGCAACCAGTGTAATAGGATTAAACTAAAGATAACGTTATTCCTACAAGTCTTAACTGTATTCTAATTATATTACATAAATACAATTATATTTTAGTGTACGTGCGTGATGTACTAATTTTTGAAGTGTTTGTTTTCCATCGCAAAGATCGCATCACTACGTTTTACGGGTAGAAGAATCTCCAAGCTTGTTACTTTTTACATCAGACAATCGTGTAGTTCGGAGATTCCGAATAAATTGGTACCTTTCCCTTCCTTAATCGATTTAGAATCACGTAAACTTTTAAGTGACTGTAAATAAATCAAGCAAGAAAATACCAACACTTCCTGGCAGATTAGAAAAATGTCGAGAGTAAAGAAATGCTCCATCCCTCAACCGCATTCTTGTAATGCTTGTGCGAGAGCCCGACTAATTCTCGGTAGAAGTTCCCAATCGATAGCGAGTAAGCGACTTCGTGATCTGTATGAAAAATAAGGAAGGAGCGGTGGTACGCAGTAATTAGTGAGCGGGTACGCTGGGACGCGTAGGGCGATAGTATACGATAAGGAATCTATAAGTATGGTGACCAAGTGTATATTATATATGTCAAATTATCTACAAGCGTTATTAGGATTAAATTATATTCAGTGAAATATTTTCATCGCGTCTTCGGCAAATTTAAATACACGATAAAACAAGTATGAATATTTTGTATTGCACTAAGGGCCTGTTCCACCAAATTGTTAATTGTCTAATAACATTCCAACGTGTAAATATGTGATGGAAATATAGCCAGTGGTGAGACAGGCCCTTAGGATATTGAATTATCAGGGGTTTATAGTAATATTATTTTTGGCTACAAATTAAATTTAGGTTCCTAATATAAAACATGTAGGTGATACTAAACATGATATCATAGAAATGGTAGAATTTCTATCAAATTTCATTTAGTTTTGTTAGTCTGTTTTTTTAAAAAATGTCCCGCGAGAATGTTTACCGGCTGAAATAGGTCTGAGTGTTCATTTGAAACGTTTTCTAACTTCATTTAACATTGATACAACACGGTTTTTATGCGACTAGTAAGTTAACATTTGAAAATCAAATGTGCAAACAGTTTTAATTGAAACCTGTAACTCTGTAACTGAATACGAAATAACGATTTTGATGAACACTTTGCCGTTTGAATGGCGCTGTTTTACTGAGTAAAAGGGGTTTTCAATTTAGTCCAATTTTAGTTCGGTTGAAAATGTTTTATCGGATGCTTTTGAATATGGACGAATGGGTAGCTTTAGCATCCGCTCCGCTTACGCTCACAGAAACGCTAGCGTAACCGCTATCGCTTATGAGTCATACGTATTACGCGAAGCTGTCGAATTTAACGGTCACTTCGTTGAATATTCGCTTTACGAATTTGATGAAAGGGCCGAAAGCTTTTTAACTGGCCTGTTTGGTAGAGATAAGAATTCAAACACCTTGATCCCTGTATGTAATGTGAAATAACATGTCTGTTGCTAGTAAAAAAAATATTTAAAAATCTACACCAATATTATAAAGAGTAAAGATATGATTTTTCGTATTGAATTTGCTCCGAAACCATTGGACCGATTTCAAAAATTCT